TCCGAACCCTTCAGATCCCCGCTCCCTCCAGAACCAGGGCCCGCTGGCGAACCATTCAGGGAACAGCGGCTGAAACATAAGCATCCTGCTCGAAGTTCGCGAAGCGGTTCAAGAAACGCCAAGCTGGGGGTGGCCCGCCTGGGAGCTGGACCCAGCTGGACTCGTCCTGGGCCTCGTCGAGGACCAGGTCGAAGCCGGCGAAACTCTCAGCATCGAGGCCGTCTGAGGCCCCGGCCGCGTCGCGCCAGACCGCGATGTCCAGGGGGCCGTTGGGGGGGCCGTCTCGGGCCCCAGCGAAAGCCTCGATCGAGAGCGAGACGCGCAGATCGTCGAGCATGACTTCCCCCGACTCCCGCTTTGTGATTCGCAGCCTCTCGATCCTCTCCAGCTGGCCCCCCGCGCTCCGATCTCCGACCCTTGCGTGGCCCGAACTCCATTGTCCCTGGCTGGGGCGCCCTGGGGCACCCATCCCGCGGCCTCCGACGCTCGGTCCCTGGACGCCCATTCCCCGGAGGCGAGGTCCCGAATCCCCGACTGGAATCGAGGCGTTGTTTGTATCAAATGGCGCGGTTCAAATCCCGAAGAGCAGTCTCGAAGTTCTTGGCAGCGCAGCTGCTGGAAACCCCCGGATTCGGAAGCTGGCCCAGGATGCGGGACTGCGCGGGCTCGCCCCTGCCCAGGAATATGAGAGGACTGGGGAAAGGAGAGAGAGGAGCCGCTCGTGCCTGGCCTTCTCTCCGCGAACAGTCGCTCGCTAGTCGGCGATGCGACAGCGTCTGCAGCAGCGGCTTGACCGTCAGGTCGGAAAAACTGGCCTGACGCTGCCGCCTGGCCACTCAATGCCCTTTCGCCTAAGACTCCTCGTCGTCGGCGGCTGGCGCCCGCGCCGGGCAAAGCGCCCCGGGCCCTTCGCCGCGTCGATCAGGGTACGTGTCCACGTGCTGCTGTCTCTCCTTGCGCTCCTCGATCATCATCCACTGCGTGGCCTCGAAGCCCCCCCCGATCGTCGCGGCGCCGCTGCTGCTGCTGGGCAGATTCGGCGGAGGCGACTTCGCGGCTGATGGGTTAGGTGGCGCCTGCGTCGGAACCTCGAGCCCCCCGCAGAATGCCGCGCGCTGGGGCGGAGCCGTGAACTTCGGGGCCCTCTCGTGCTTGGACGAACGCCACGGGGGTCTCTTCCGTCCTGGCCGACCCCTTCTCGCGCTCGACGATGCGCCTGACTCTGGCCTAGCTCCTCGATCTCCTCCTTCGTCTTCCTCGCGAAGCTGAAGCTCGCCCCGCGCGCTCGGCGCATCGAATAGTACCCGTGCTGGACTCCCCCGCAAAATCGCGCCGCCATCGGACGTGAGCAGCTGGCCTCCGAGCTCTCGCCTTGGCCGCGTCGACAGAGCCCTGGGCGCGGCGCCGCGACCGCCGCGAACAGCGACTCCGCGCAGACACGGAGAAACAACATCATCCGGATGCACTTCCGAGGCGCCGGAGACAGGGGGACCACCCCCTCGAAGAAAAGCGGCCTCCTCGACCACCGTCATCTCCTCATCCTGGTAGTCTATCTGCCGCGGCCGGGTGTCGATCCACGGATCCGGCGTCCTTGTCCCGATTCATATCGATATCCACGTCCGGCGCCTCGTCGTTCTCTGGGATCACCTCCAGATCCGAATCGATCGGCATGTCTGAGTCCTTCTGAACCGCCAGCAACTGCTTCCGAAGCCCGCTGAGTTAACCGGCGCTCCGAGTCCTCAGGGTCTTGCTTGTCGGCGGCGTCGCCGAGCGAATGTTTCGCCGGAATGGGAGTCGGCTGGCCATTGCAAGAGCTGGAGCCAAGGTGTGCTACGGAAGATCGGCTAGCAGCAGGGCCGGGAGAAGGTCTCGCCCCGCGACCCCGCCACTCCGATTCGCCGGACAAGGGGGGGGAGGCAGGGGAGATAAGGACTGACTGCGCTGCCCTGCCTCTTCACCTGACATGCCCGGCCCTGCCCCCATGTCCTGATCAGGGCCCATGAGCTCGAAGTCCGCGCGGCCGACCCAGCGGCCGGGGAACGGCGCCGAGCGGTCCGGCACGCCGCCCGTCCACTCGCACTCGAGAACCCTGCAGCTGGCCGAAGAAACCTCCAGCAACTGGCAGGCGATGCGCCCGAAGCCGGACTGCTTGGCCCTCGCTGGTGGGTCGTCTGCCTCACGTGCACGCGCTTGACCGCGTTTCCAATCCTGATATAGCAATCCTGCAAAGCCGGGGCCTCGGACGGACTCATCATCCAAGACCCCGCAGGCGTCTCGACGAAAGATGGAAACCTGGCGGCAAGGTCATCGCCCAGACGGAATTCAGACAGCCTGCAGCCGACGAGCGAGGCAGTCCGATGTCCGGACGGGAGCCTCGTCGAGGTCAGGTCTCTGCGCTGATCTCCTTTTCCGACGGTCATGGCGTTGCTCCGAAGATCGGACACTGATTGGGGGAAGTCCAGGGAACGAGCTGGAGGTCGGACGCGGATGGGGCAGCATCAGGAACTCGACGACCCCGCAGCCCAGAAACTGCTGCTGCGCCGATCGGCTTGACCTTGCCCCCCGCCCCGTCGGCGCTCGGCACGTTCTCGGCGTCGGAAATGAACCATGAAACCCTCGGTCTCAAACGCGGCCTTCGCCTTGTTGATTTCTGGCGTGCCGATCAATGCCTGCTCAGCTGCCACGCCCGCTGGCGCGCGCCCGCCCACATCTTGAAGCATCGCCGCCGTGAGGTCACCCTTCTCGTCGCCCACCTGACCAGAGAAGGTCGAAAGCCGTCCGGCCCGGCAGGTCATCGCGTCTCCCGCGGCGTCGGAGAGCGAGCCCACCTGGCCCTGCTCATCCACGGTGACCGCCCAAATTGTACCTGAGTGCGCATTGGGACTCTGGTCGAGCCCGAAGCAGAAAGACGGAGCGGATGGCTTCTTCTCGCCGCCCTGGCCGGCCGTTCCTGAACGGCTAGACTCGGACTTCATCCTGTCGGCTCTACCGCGATACGGGTTCCTGCAGTCTTCTTGCCAATGACCTGTCTCTCCGCAGTTACAGCACCTGGATCGTTTCTTGAAGGCATCCCAGGAGACCTTCTCGGTGGTGACAACCTTGCTCCGATCAAAGAACTCGCAGTCCACCTTGTTTTTGGCATTTAACTGCCTGGACACGGCCCATGCACGGCGGCGCGTGGGGTCACTTCGGCATAGATATCCACGAAGAGATCTTCATCATGTTCCTGAGCATGCAAAGAGACCAATATCGTGATCAACTCTCCCTCGTCGAACTAAGTCTCGAACGATCCGGCACAATCACCGTCGCCGCAGCCCTCAGGAATGACGTCAAGCCCCGATGGTTCACGCACGGCCGCCGCGAACGTTTTAGCCTGAGGGGCCACGGCCTGCACCTTAGGAAATGTAAGCTTTTCTGTGATGTCGAGCTCCAGCAATGCCCTTCGGACGGCGTCCAATGGCTTCTCGCCGGCCATCAGGGACCTCAGGTTGAGCCGCATCTGCTGTGTAAGATTGGCTCCCTCCTCGTAGCATCCGGCTTCCACTGCGACCTGCTGTTCACGACGTATGACGATATCGGTCAAGTTCTCACCCTTTCGAATAGAATAATCACATAGAGCTTTATTATGGGCTTCTCTTTCCCTGTCGCCTGGTCGTTCGCCCTTCAATAGCTTGAGATGATCGGTCGATCACCCTTGTGAGGCCGTCGTTGGTTTCACACAGATAGATGACGAATGACTTTGAGTCTGACATGAAGCTGAACAGGAACAGTCTCGATGACAAGTCCAGCTCGTGTCTTGTGTTTGATAGCCGTCCTCTTGTTCAGCGAGCTCAGGCTAGCCCGCTACAGATCTAAATGTTCCAACCCGTGCGAAACTGAAGGGAATAATCATATCGACTGACCTTTCCCCACGGTGACTTGGCCCATCTACTGACTCCCCACCAGTCGGAATCAAACCACCACTGACAATCAGACCATGCGCCACATTTCCAGCTGTCCCCATGCAAAGGACTTTGTGCCTGCATCAGCAGAACCGGCTGCGGCTCCTTCAGCAGGCCACATCCCCTCCTTCTGGGGCGTGGAGACGTTCTCCCACGGATCGAAAGCATGGGCGCCTCTCTCACCGGCACCTGTGTGATCCTGAAGCGTGCCCTCTCCCTTACCTTGGTCCTCGCGCCCCTGACCTGGCAGGTCCTCGTCCCCGACTCGGCCACCATTATAAGACAGCGTGGGGAGAGCGGAGGCCGACAGGCCTGGAACACTATTTTTCAAGAGAGGATTAAGAGCATACTCAGTACACACAGTCACCGGCGCGTCAGCGCCCCCTAAAGCCAAAATGGCTGCAAACGCCTGCCCGTCACATAAAGGGGAGGGGGGACGAGGAAATTGAAGACAGCCTGTCCAAAAACGCTGGCAAACCCGAGTTCCAGCGAACTCGAGTTTTACGCTTCCCCGAACAGAGCTGGCGATATAAGCCTCGTCCGAGGCTCTAGCGCGAGCTCCAGCCCATGTCGGGGGGGTGACGGGGCAT